TTACTATACTTAATAATACATATTTTAATAAATACTATTGTCAGCACTGGCACGAGCACGGGCCGCCGACGGTGTTTTGGTTGTCTGGCTTCTACTTCCCTCAAGCGTTCCTCACAGCCGCCCAGCAGAGCTACGCGCGCAAATACAAGATACCCATCGATCAGCTCGCCTTCCACTACGAAGTAATTACAAACTTAAAATAGACACCTAATAATATGGTTTCCAACCAATTTCAAAGAATTATTACTGTTTGATTAATTTCGTTTAATTAATTCTGCTTATTCATTAAAGAGGATTAACGATTGCACACTCTTTACACATATTTACACCAGTCAATAGATGCGTATCATTCCTAAAAATATATGGTACTATTCTTGGTTGACTTTTGCAGTCGAACGTTATCGTGTAAAATGATTCTCACCTTTTTCTTAAATTTGTGTTATCAATACCCATAATTCACTTTTACTCTACTGAATAGGTGCAGAAACAGTTTGAGATTGATGAGCCACCGAAAGAAGGTGTGTACATTCGCGGACTGTTCATGGAAGGTGCGCGCTGGAACATGGATCAAATGATTGTTGACGAGTCCATACCTAAGATACTGTACGACGAATTCCCACCAGTTAGTATGGCATATCACTTAAACTTAATCTGCATAATTGTGTTCTGAGTAACTGGTAATTATCCAAAATCTGCGGATAAGGATCGATTTTTGACATTAGATATAATAATATGGAGTTCCTATAGGCACATTTATCGAATCTTGTAACAACTGACAGTCATCAAAGTGCACATTTTTGGGTCGATTTTTCAATCGTCAGTTATTATTCTTAACTCGTTGAGTACCGTCATTATAGATACAATTATAGAACAATAGGTTGCGGTCACCGGTGTCCTCGCGGTGTTTGACAGTTTCATTGTACAATAAAATTGATATTTGATAATTTATGGTAATGGAAGAAATGTCAAATATTCAACATGTTGTTATATTGACAAAAACTTGAAAAATCGGCCCTTAGAAGTGTAACAAACGAATATTTATTTAAGTATTACTCAAGCAATGGTTTCCATATAGGTATGGCTCATTCCACTAAAACGCGAAGAAGTGCCGACTGATGAGTTCTACAACTGCCCTCTATACAAGACTGGGGCCAGACGAGGCGTGTTGTCTACGACGGGGCATTCTACCAACTACATCCTCTTCATGCGACTGCCTACGGTGCAGGAACCCGATCACTGGATCATGCGAGGAGTGGCTCTGCTTACACAACTACCTTTCTAGAACATTCAGCGACAAATACATTAAAATGTTTGTATTCGTAACAGCATTTTTTGACCCTTGTAATTTCCCTTGTTTTCTTCGTTGTCCCCGAAAATAGAATCATGATCAAAGATTTTCTATTTACTGTCCTTCTTTATATTTTCGACATGTTGTTGACTAAACATTTTGTGTAATCAACTTTACGTATCTCAAGCACTTTGTCTATCAAAATCATGCCTTGCCATACCAAACATTTTGATATTTTTTTCCTGACTTACTTTTCTTTCATTGTGGTTACATAGTTTTGTAATATTGTAACGACATTTATTATATCCTTTTATTTTGTCTAAATAATTACGTAATTATGAACATTATATATTTAATATGGGAGATGTTTATAAAAAGACAAAACTATCATGGAAATGGTGTTTATGTTATTTTTAAGTATGGCACTTTGTCGTAATTCGGTCTAGTCACCTAAGAAATAATTATTGCGTTATTTATAATTATTATAGTTAGTTTTTTTCTGTGTACGAAGTTTGATATTTATCCCGTTTTAGTTTTAATATAGAGATTTAATGTGTCGTTTTTTGTCAGTGGCAAAATCACTCGTTGTCTTCTCTCGCTTTGATTGAGGTGAAAGAGAGTGTCAGACTCTTATTGACTAAAAACCACCCCGTTCGTAGTTTCCGTCCGCAGGAAGAGCCTTGCTTTGAGCTAGAGCTCCGGCAATCCGCTAGGGCTCCGGGTCCTGTGATATGGTTTTTAGAATTAGTTTTTGGCACTGTATCTAATTGATTGTGTGCATACTTCATCGTGTTTATTTTAAAAATATATCGAAAACGGTAAACGTTTGACACTTTTAAACTTCTAAATATCTAGGTACTTTTTTTATTTATTGTAATGTGGTATAAGATACATAAGAAATAATATTATGTTTAATTTTTCATTAGTTTATTTCTCATTTATATTTAATTCTCAATAAAAAATTTTAAATGTTTATACGTTGTTTTAATTATTAACCGCACCGTGTTTTATGAAAAATATATTTATGTGGTTTTTGATATATTTGGTACCTATTTACAGAAACAATATTGTTATTTGTTTTCTGTAATAAACTTTAACTGTACTCAATGTCATACATCTTTAGCATAAGTTTCGGAAAATAAAGCTCGAAACGGCCCTAATAATTATTATACAATGCAGCATTCCGAGATTTCAAATTATATTTTAACGGCAGGCCATTGCTAAAAATAGTTCTTATCTGTGTCAAATGATCATTGTCTCCACAATACCGTCGTTCTTTTAGTTTTAGTAACAAGAATAAGTGGTATCACGAGTCACGGATAGTATAATAATTATCAAGAAATAGCGTTTGTAGATATATTGACTTACCTATTTGCCTAGACCTAGAGTTCTACATGCGTAACTTCCTTTGTCTAAGATTCTAAGCAGATATGTATTCTACCTAAGTTTTTGTGTATAAAATGTAATACAGTATGTTAAGTAGGCCTCAAATACCAAGGATTGTTTTCGCACATGAACATTGATGCTATAAATTGGGCCCGGACGAAAATGGAAGTTTTCTTCGGGGAACGAGGTCAATGTCATCGTTATCGTTCCGCGGTTTTATGTTCGGCCAGGGGAACCACAACTCTATAGTTATGGCGCGAACATTACGAGAGCGGTGACTTTGCGAATCGGCGTATTACGTTGCCCTGTCATTTAGCACGAAAAAGCTCGCATCCCAGATACGGCATGTATTAAATAAGCGAGTAGTGGGCAGGGTGGGCCGAGGGGGCTGTAGTACGGGAGGCACTCGGTCTAGCGCGGCGTTGCCGGGCGACGCGAGATATCGATCTGCGCGTCCGGAGCGCGCAGCATCCCTCCCGGGCGCTCGTCCCCGCCCCGCGCCGCGCGCCCTTGATTCTGCCGCTCGACCACCGCCACCACGACCCACACCGCACCCCCCTACAAATACTTATTACATTTCGCACTACATACTCCACGTAATCCGATGAAGAAATTTCGCTTATGCTTTACAATCGTGGTTCAAGCTCCTAACCTACATGTTCTTAAACTCGTCAACATAAAGCTGTACTAAAGCTATTAAGTATATAACAAAGTTGTGCAAATACGAACAAAGACGTAATAAAGTTGCTGAAGGCTTAATTTAGTTTCTCGAATAAAATTCAGATGGGGAATGTTGAGACATAGTTTGAGGACAAAGAATGTAACATTTAGAAACTATAAAGTGTCATATTTTTTTATCTTATATTTTAGAAAAATAATAAAATTTTATATTAAAAATATGATTATGTAAAATGTCTTAAACAATTTATGAAAAACTTATAAGATGGGAGCTATTTACTAACTAAACATAACAGTTGAGACAAGCTGAGATCAATCCAGATCACAAGAGCTATGCGGCTAATTTAATGTGTCAGTGAGCGCGTAATCCGTGGCAACTGGGTGAAGCAGTTATATGCGAGGCGAACGCTGTGCTACGTCATGTGTGACATACATTAACGCATGCCTTACGCTAGAACATGGTAGGCATATAGTCAACATAGCTTAGAGTTACTAGTAAGCATGACTTTACTATGTTTACATATAACGTTCTCAGATCGTTTCTGCGGTTTGACCAATTAGTAATTAGGTACAATGTACATAATGCCAATTATAAATACAATCCTGTGATACTTCAATATCATGCTCACTTCCTTCACAATTATCATCACAAAAAACATTCGCTTCTCAGATCCGGGATAAATAAACTGTATTCCGGTATCCCACCTCCACCTATCTTTTTACATTCGTTCCCTCCTGTGACTGTCTGGTCGTATTATTTGTACATAAAACTGTACATATATATTTTTTTGTAATCGCCTTATCATTTGTTTCCCGGGACACGCCACCCCGGCCACCCTCTCCCTCCCTGCAGACAGGTACCGACTGTTAACGCTCTCACAGTTCATTGTCTAATTTCCACGTTGCTATGACGAGAGACATGTTGTAGGCACAAGTACCTCCGACCCGGCGGGAGCTCTATTGAGTTGTTGCTTGTTGCTACTAGTTCCGAACAAGTACCTAACGAGACGAATATTGAAATGTTTTTAAGCTTTATTTTGTGTCGAACTCTATTCATGTTTCATATACGTTTTTGTTACTTTTATATCAAACTGAATGGAGTGCGACTGGTTCGAGCGGCGAATTCCAGCACTTGAGTCAGTTGAGAGCAAATGAAAATGGCATGCCGTCCATGCCACTTTCATCAGGTACGATTGGTATGATTGGGAAAGTACTTATGGTTAATTTCAATGCACATGGGCTATGATTATTGTTAATACAAAAGACAGACAAATTTCATTCTTTTTAACTTGTCATAATATTATTTATTTCAACAATATTGGGTACGCAATTCCCATTACTTCATGAATTAGCAACTGTGTGAACCGAGCATAAGAACGCAACATGCATTTAATATAAAAAACCACCGTAAACCACGTAAACTAAGTATAAAAAAGAAAAGTGTCTCTGTCCACAATGTGCTACACTCGGCAATGAAGATTTAATTAAAATGCGTTCCTCTCGGCGGCTGGCTATCCTATCGCATTTAATTATAACTTTCAGCTCTGGCTCTAGCGTTATTTTATTAGGAAACTGTCTCACCCAACATTCATTCAGTAAAATACATGTGATTCAATTTTATACCTTACAAGCGAATTCAAGCGAGTTCGTTTGAGCGACCATTTTTTAAAACCGACAGCATGGAATATCGAACTAGCCTCATAATTAGAAAACACCAGAATTAATTAGTAGGGAGGAGAGATGCTGCCGAAGTTAGACTGTCTGATCCGATAAAAGCCGGCGGCTCCAGCTCCGTATTTAAACGAGCTATTTTAGATGGCTTGGAACTGTAACGTTGGTCGCCAGCATAGAGCTCGCAGCCAATCGCTTATTGGGATTGGAAGCGAAGCCTTTCGAGCGGTTGCGGCCGCTCCGGCAGACTCCAATTTTAATGTTATATAACTGAACCGAATTAATTCGCAGTGCGCTCTGCCGCCATCGCTAGTTCAAACAACCGCTCCATGGACCAATTTCGATTAAATATTGCTTTTTAACAGTAAAACAAGAGTTGTGGTTTGAACGATGTAATTAAAAAGCTCGTTCAGTCAGAAAATCGGATTTAAATGTGGTTTCGGTCATATTATTAATTATGAATAACCTGTAATTGTCATGCATTCACATTTGTATTATCGAATATGGATTTAATTTTATTTGATTTAAATGCAAGTCTACCAAATGAATATTTGTTTTGATCACGGATCTGTATTTATCATTCGCGGTAAATAGCTGTCCTTCTGTTGAAGACTAATTAATATATTTACACTTCAGTGAATCTTTGATACCTAATTAAAACAGTTTTATGCACTGACAACATTTCACTGTGTAATTAGAGTATCCGGAAAGCAAACTTTACTCTGTGAAATTTCCCAGCGGAAATAATTCATATGACGCTGTAGTTTGCTCGTAGTTCGCTTTGTACGTCAATAGTTAGTTGAGGGCGGATCTGCCGGCAACTGCGAACTCATTACATCGCCAACTTCTCTAGAAATTATACAGACTCCCGCGTCCGACACGGCTCCTAATTAGTGCGGCTCGATGAAAAACATCTACCTACTGGGACCAGTAGCGATCTATAGCACTGGCAACATGTGGGGTGGAAGTCAAACACTTCTGTTGCAACTTCTACGTTCTGAAGATTTGTTTTAATAAAATGTATGCGCTCTGTCGTACAGATATATTTGTTTTAAAATATTGATCAAATTAATTGATATTACAATAAGGAGGATAGAGAGTACTAAAAAATAGATCGGAATAGCGCCTTTATACTTCGGAATTTTTCCATTTCATTGACGTAATATGACCACGTTCAGCCTTAAAGCGCTTTCGACTTTTAGCCAACCGGAGTATTGTCATTAAACACGTATAAGTGTATTTATGTGTATTTCGCTCTAAAACTACTTTAACAGATTATGGAAACATTACCAAACAACTGCTTAATGGGGTTTCAACTTGTTATTCGAAGGGACTTGCAAAATAAACAACACGCTGTGTGTAGACGAAGTAAATAGTCGTACTCATTGGCATCATTCCATTAGGTCGTAAGTTCACCCCAACGTGTATGTAAATAGCTTCTTTTGGTGTTCCACCCTCGTTTGACGGGAGCAGTAGCTGGAAGGTCGTATCTTTTTAGAGCAATCGTAGAGTATTTGATTTCAATACTATGTTGCTATAAATAGACAAATAGTGGCAACTTCATTATATATTATTATTTGCTTTAAATCATCTTTATTAATTGGTGATTTAGTTCAATTAAAGTAGGTACGTCTCTGCACTGTCTGTGCTATATAATCATTCTCAGTACTCACAGGGCTCATTATCATAGTGATTGCAATAATTTTGGATCCATCTATGCTATGTATGTTCATCATCTCATCGCTTAACGTGTGAATCATTGTTTAATTGAGGGGAGTGGGCGGTGCGCGGAGGGCGGGCGCGCATCGATCGTCTCCCGTCACCATGGCGACGGTCCCTCTCCCGCGCTCCGCAGCCCGATTCATTTGTAATCATTTGTTTCGCGGCCGTCGAATAATGGTGGTCGTGAAACGGTGCGAAATTGATGGATTACTGTAAGGTACATCTACACTTAGATACAATTGTCATTTATCAAATTATGAAACAAAACACGTACCATGGATTACTCTATTCAATACTGAAATGGTAACAATACCGTATTAATCCTACCGAGATGTTATGTAGGACCTTCATGCATACATACGTGTCATACACGCACATTATAGTTAGCTAAATGAGATTGATTAGTCCTTTCCTTACAGTTACA